GTTGGTGTGTGCATTCGAGTTCAAAATTTATCTAACCGGTGAGTTCAAGATTCACATCACTCCTGGGAAGAAAATTACTCAGTGTCACTACGTGTCAGTTCAAGTTCTCAAACACTGACATTAAGATCAACTCATTTGTATTGCTCAGACATTGTTGCCTCCTAGCCTTCTGCTTTGAATGTGTGGGGGATTGTTGGAAATAGTCCATTCAAAGGACATCATTTTCGGACATAATTATGTGGCAAGCATGAATTGTGTTAAGTGTGTGGATGTGGCTGCTTAAATGTCTCTTAGTCCTGTACTATAAAAGGGACAGCCCTCCTTTGTCTAAAACACACCAAGAAGAAACATATTCTTCTTCATTCTTCCTTCTTCGTCACTAATATATATTATATTATATAATATATATTATAATATATAATTCCGTGCTTGCATGTTCAAGTCTGAGCAATAGTGAGGTTCGCCTACGTGATTGCTAGTGCAAGCTATCCGTAGTAGGTCTGTGTAGCCTGTCGAAAGCGTGCCAGGGTTCTAACTGCACCGTTACCGGGCAAATAACGCTTTTAAGGTAGTGTTATTATAACACGGCACAGATTTCCTTTCAACCATACACCAATAGTGTCCGTGCTTCTTAAAAGGCTTCCAGATCGCACGTTGACGTTGCAATTTTTCCCAACAGTTATCACCATCAAACTCAACAAATGAACTCCACCTACAACTGTAATCCCTAACAATTTATAAATATTCCCTATTGTTCTTTTGCATTTCATTACAGATAATGCACTCTTACAAATTTTAATAATTTTCGTATCATTTCAGCTTAATGAATAAAACCATTTTCATGGAAAGTATCATTTCAGCTTAATGAATAAAACCATTTTCATGGAAAGTGTTCAGAGAAATCATATTTTTTGTCAATCTTAGTATATGTCTAACATCACATAAAGTCCTAACAACATCATCATACATTCTAATTGATTTCAGATCACCAACGCCAACAATATTATGACACATATCATCACTCAAAAAAACAGAACCAAAAGTTCCTGATTTGTTTGTGGTAAACCACTCGCTATTAGGTTATATGCGATAAGAACTAGCAGAACCAAGAATCCACGCATTCAACAACTTACTAGATGAAACCTCAAGAACATTACTTTTACTACAATATGAATCATCACTATGTTGGATAGTACCACGATCGCAGTCTCTTACTGGTTCTTCAACTTGGGACAGTCCATTATCATGTGTCCAACCTACTTGCACTTCGCTTGTGGCATCGAATTTTCTTGCTATTCATGAATTTTGACCTAGAATCTCGCTTTTCAGAATTCTCCATCCACCGCTTTTCAGACACGACTTGAAACCTGTTAATAAATTAAAGAGTGTCTATTGTGTCAACCCGTTAACCAATCATGTTTGTGTTCGTGTCAAAATTTGAACCCGTTAATCATAACGTGTTGTATCTGTATTTAGCTTTATCGTGTTTGTGTCGTCGTGTCGACCTGTTAACAGACCTGTATACACGAATTGCCAGGTCTACTTTCAAGTCTTTTAGGTGAACCAGCTGTGCTAGCTGATCCTTAACCCTCGTCTGTCATTAAATAATGTGAGCAGAACGCTGAACCCATATACATACACAACAACGTTAACCACCCACAATCAGAAATTAAGAATGAAGGCCGGTCCTCTACTAGGAAAAGCCTGCCTCGTCGGGAACAAAAAAACGAAACAGATAATTGCAACAATTAAGATCAAGAAAGCTAGCAGGCTGAAGTGTACTAGTGTTAGGCCATGGTTGAGGCCGGACGAACGAAATCAGACAAAGGAAAATATTTTATGTGAAAGCATGCCGAGAAGAGGGAATCATCCGTACTCATCTAACATTTGTCATGTCTGCATGATACTATAATATCTGTAACGCTTGTGGATAACACTTATTCATCATCACCGCTAATTATGAATCTGCCAAGTGTCTACCTAAAATATTGTAATCATTATATTGTGTGTGAATTGAATCACTTCTATTTCACAAGCAACCATTTGATATGATGTTATACTTATCGATTCATGGTTTGTGCTTTGTTTGTTGAGAAAATAGTTAATTTGTTGAGCAATTGAATCACCCTCATTTACATCAATTGTTATGCTATGGATCTGTATCCAGCATGCATTGTGGACACGATAACGATGTTGTTAGTGGCATCGTTATTTTCCAGTTTTTTTTTTTTTTTAAATTTCAGACGGCTTCGTTATAGGAACATATGTTCATAATTTTATCACTATATGTTCATAATTGTAAGTTCATAATGTCAGAGCTCTGTGTTCATACTTCCATAACTGTACATTCATAATTCCGTAACTATACATTCATAATTCAATAACTGTACATTCATAATTTTCAAAGCTTTATGTTCACAATTTTAGAGCTCTATGTTCATAATTTTATCACTATATGTTCATAATTGTAAGTTCATAATGTCAGAGCTCTGTGTTCATAATTCCATAATTCCATAACTGTACATTCATAATTCCGTAACTGTACATTCATAATTCCATAAACGAATAACGCCGTTAACGGCGAGACAAAATCAATTTTTTTTTTTAAAAACTGGAATGCCGCGTTTTCCCTAAAAACGACGTCGTTTTGGACTCGTGTCCACAATGCATTATGGACACGAGTCCACAACATAATTTGTGGATTTACATTCTCCCAAATAATTTGTCGGGTCAAGATGTGGAGGCTTTGAGATTGGAGATTCGATACTTTTGAGAGAAGAAGAAAATAGTTCATTTTTGTTCTATTTATCACTTATGATAACATTTTTAAAATTTTATTTTATTCTTGTGACAAGAAGGTGAAATCGCCTACACAAGGAGCCTCTCAAATTGCTCCATCTTATTGTTGTAAGACTCAATCTTTTGTCTTTGTAATAAATTTTACCTCTATAACAAATTGAGCTAGCTGCGCTATACGGACAATTTTATTTTATTTTTAATTTTAGTAGTTGTATTTAATTTCATTTATTTTTACCAAGTATGTTACCTTCCTGGAAAGTTAGAGATTAAAACATAAATGATTATTTTCATATTTGATTCCACGACTATTAAATTATTAGAAAATTGTAAATTTTAATCTCTAGATTTTTATGTCAAGTGTAATTTTCATCTCTAATTAGTATGGAATTGCAATATTATCATCTAAGACCCTAATTCTAGTACCCCCTAAGATGACTAATTAGAGGTAACTATTACAACACTATTAATTAGGACAAAAATGAGTTAATACCCAAAATCGTCCTCGACTATAGTGGTTTTTCTCAATTTCGTCCTAAACGACTTTGGTGACCTAAATCATCCCAGACTTTTGTGTTTCGCTCAATTTAGTCCCAGACTTTTGTGTTTTTGCTCAATTTAGTCCCTCATTTGTTATTTTGTCCATTTGGTGTTAAATAAATACACAATTCAGTAATTTTAATATTGGCATCTCTTTACTCATAGACATGTGAACTGCGAAATCCTGTTTTTTTTTTACGAATTACTCCCAGAATTACTCCTAAAACTGCGAATATAAAATTTGATTTGCAGGTCCGGGAGTAATTCTGAGTGTAATTCGTACAAGAAAGAGGAATTTCGCACTTCACAAGTTGAAAGTAAAGAGAGATCAATATTGACATTACTGAATTGTCCCTTTATTTAACACTAATTTGACGAAATAACAAATGGAGGACTAAATTGAGCGAAACACAAAAGTCTGGGACGATATTATGTCACCAAAGTCGTTTAGGACGAAATTGAGAAAAACCACTATAGTCGAGGACAATTTTGGGTATTAACTCGGACAAAAATTATTATACTTGTCTTAGAGGATCTAAGCTGCAATTTTCTCTAAATCATTTTATATTAAGTCATCAACAATTTTTTTGTCACATTCAGTGCAAATTAAGCTTTCATTTCTTGTCACATTTAGTTATTTAAACTAATTTTTCAGTTCAAAAATAGCCAAAATCTTTCATATTTTTAGTTCAAACAACACCAACGTGAATGTCTCAACACATTTAGAAAAGAAAAAAAAAAACATATAATTTGAAGTGAAAATATGATGCATTCTAACATTTTTTTTAATGATCAAAAGACTTAAAAGTAACATCAATAAAAGTTAGTACTTGAAGAAGACTAAACATGCATGAATGTTACCTAGTAGTTGTAGGATTAAAAGTGAATAATTTAAAACCAAATTACGCTTGATTTTTAGGGTTTATATTATTAGCTTCTTATAAAGGAAACACTAAAATAATGAAAATGCAGGATAAAATTTGGCCTTCTTGAAATTCACATCACTACTAAAATTAGAGTAGCATTGATGTATGAGCTACTAAACTCTGTCACTACTAACTTCTACTGCTTACTAGTTACTACCAATATTGATACTTGTGCTAGTAAACAAGTGCTCTACAGTATTTACTATTTAGACTCAAATTAAATGCACTTTTAAAAGAAAAAAAAAATGCACTTTTAAAAGAAAAATATTATACTTCTATTTTCTACTCTCAACTTTTATTTCTATACACAAAATTATAACATCGACATTTATATTGAAATTCACATTAAAAAAATATTCCATAATTTATTAGTGATCATTATATTAGGAATTAAAATTTAAGAAGTAAGATTTGAGAGTCCGTGTAATAAACTCATAAAATAAGATTTCTTTATTTTCGTATAAAAAAAGTTAAATTTTCAATTCCAAGAATCTCATATCCTAACTTGACAGAGCATTTGAAATGATGTAAATCATGATAATTCAACTGAACATGGTTATCGTTAATGAAATTTGATCCTAAATCATTATTTTTAAACTTTATTCATGTAATCAACAACACTTTATCCATGTAATCAATTGAGTTGTTGATGTGGACTGATTTCTTCATTCTCAGTCCATTGTACTTTCTTGACTTTCTCACTCTATTTATTTATTTAGGAGTTAGGAGCCAAGTAAAAGGAACAAACAGAAAACCAATATTCCTGGGTTGTATCAGTCTCCCATGCCTTTGTTGTACACGGAATCTGTTTCCATGGTGAAAAAGCTAGGAGCAAATTCATGGCTGACAGCACTCAAGAGGGTGTTCATCAGGTATCCAAGCAAGGACAGAAAGAGCCGACACTCTAAGCGGGACGAGGAAGAAGAAAAGGTAAGAGAAAAACTTATGAGAATGTAGTTAGATAAGAATTGTTTTAACAGTTGATATATATAATATATGGGTTTTAATTAGCAGAAAAGAGACAAGGGAAGAAGATGGCTGTTCAGCAAAACCGCAGATGAAAATAGTGTTGGAGGAGTGGAGATCATCAGCCGTACACCGCCGCCTTCTAGAAGGCTGCTCTGCGCGGCGACGGTTATTCAAACCGCTTTCAGATGCTATCTGGTAAGTTTGGTTACTTTTGTGTTGAGGAAAATGGAAAAAGATGGAATAGATATGGTGATATGATATGATCTTTTGCAGGCGAAGAGAGCTCTGGTTGCTCTGAAGGGGATTGTGAAGCTTCAAGCTTTGATAAGGGGACAGAACGTTCGACGACAAGCACGGATAACGTTAAAATGCATGCAGGCTCTGTTTCGAGTTCAGGAAAGGATGAGGGAACAGTGTGCTCGGATTTCGCAGGATTCCGCCCGGAAATCCATGTTTTCAGGCTCTACTAACTCCTGGGAATCTAAGTATATCCGAGAAAGAAAATCAATTGTAAGTCATATAATCATATTATATTCCTCTGATCTTCAAGAACAGAGCCCATTATATTGTCGTCTAATCAAGAAAATCTTGAAATGTTTCAGTTCAGAGATCATTGTTCAGTTGGGGAGGCTTGGAGGGACTGCCCGCCGACGCTTCAAGAACTTGAAGTAATGTTACAAGCCCAAAAGGCTGCTTTTATGCGAGAAAGATGCCCTTCTCAGGTTAGTTTTCTTGGATTTCGATCTGGGGTTTTTAGTTTTTAGTGTGTCTTTTTGAAACCTAGAGTTGTGTAGGCATGGAGTTCAGACACCGATGTTGTTGACGGAGAAGAAAGAGAAAAGACGACGCCATTAAAGCAGGGGAAAAGCAGAGCTCCGGCGATTCAGAGAAGAAATCCGGTAAAGTCCGGCGAAATCAACGTCAGAATTAGATCACTACAGCACAAGTCAGCTTCTTCCGTTCAAGCGCCGGCGACCCCTTCTCCGGCGAAACCGAAGCCAGTGCGGCCAACAACGAGCCCGGGAAATCTGGAGAAGAGCCACTCAACGGCAAACACTCCCCGCCTTTGCCCCACGAACCGATCAGCCAGTTTCGCCCCGCGTTACAGCATATCTGGAATATCGCCGGGATATATGGCCGCCACGGAGTCGGCAAAAGCCCGTCTCCGATCACAGAGCGCACCCCGGCAGAGGCCCTCCACGCCGGCGAAGAGATGCTTATCTTACTCCATCTCCGTCAAGAATGGTGAAGAAGGGGTGGAGAAGCGGTCGGAGTACTGGTGTAATAATAATAATACAGAGAGGGAGAGCGTTGGGGGAGAGATTTCGCCATGTTCAACCACCAATTCAAGATGGTGGTGAAGATGAGATGATGTTGTCAGAAAGGAAGGGTGACGAGGATAGTAATGTAATGATGGTAGTGATGTGGTTTAGCTTTTGTTATCTCCTTTGTTTAGGCAAGTGAGCAGTTAAACACTTGACCACTTTAAACTCTACTCACTTAAATAAAGCTTTAAATCAGTCATATCCTAATCTCATTCTCTACTTCTAATTTTTATTCTCATTCTTAAAATATTAATATAGACATTTTTACGGAGCCCACATAAAAAAAAAAAATCTCTATTAAAACTTGCTGATGTCTATTAAAATCCGCCAGTAAATTTGAGTTAGTAAAATTTGGAAATACATATAATAAAACTCTATCCTCAATATTAAGGTTCTCACACTCTAGCTTGACAAAATATTTAAAAGAATATAAATCAAAAGCAACTCATTGGTTCAGTATACATATCAAATGTCAATATATATAAAAGATTTATCTACTTTAAACATAATGACAAATTATGTTGTAGACTCGTGTCCATAATGCATTGTGAACACGAGTCCAAAACGACGTCGTTACTCGTTTGTGGCATTATGAATGTACAATTACGGAATTATGAATGTACGATTATAGAATTATGAATGTAAGTTATGAAATTATGAACACAGAGTTCTGATATTATGAACTTACAATTATGAACATATAGTGATAAAATTATGAACATAGAGCTTCGAAAATTATGAATGTACAGTTAGGGAATTATGAATGTACAGTTATAGAATTATGAATGTACAGTTATGGAATTATGAATGTATAGTTATGAAATTATGAACACAAAATTTTGGCATTATGAACATATAGTGATAAAATTATGAACATAGAGCTCTAAAATTGTGAACATAGAGCTTCAAAAATTATGAATTTACAGTTATTGAATTATGAATGTACAGTTACGGAATTATGAATGTACAATTATGAAAGTATGAATGTACACTTATGGAATTATGAACACAGAGCTATGACATTATGAACATATAGTGATAAAATTATGAACATATACTCTTATAACGAAACGGTCTGAAATTTAAAATTAAAAAAAAAAAATGAAAGATAACGGTGCCACTAACGGCATCGTTACCTTGTCCATAATGCATGTTGGACACGGGTTCATAGCATAACAATTGAAACATAATTCTTATACTGTTCTGATTGATATTCGAACTTTCTTTAATCTCTTCTCCTAAATATTTTCCAGTGAATCATTAAATTAAACAAGAACTATGTGGTCTAATAGTACCTAGATTAGACTTTCATTTGGAAAATTGTGAGTTCGAGTCTCAGTAGGTTGAGAAAGTATATGAACAGATACTACAATGTAGTAGCCCCAACGTAGGTAGAGATTACTACGGTTCCTGAAATATGATGAATTATTGTTAGACAAATACTTTTACTTGCTAGTGTTTAGCTGAATATTTAAAAAAAAAAAACTGTGTTTTTTTTTTATTTTTTTATTTTTTTGGGTTTGGCAAAAAGATAATTTTTTTCATGTTTGATTAATCTTTTTAAAACGTGAACATAAATTTATTATAAAATTATTTTTTATAAATATTAATTATTTTAATAATGATAATAATTATTATTTATATAAAAATAAATTGAAAATAGTTATATCAAATCATAAAAATTATAATAAAAATGTAAATAAATGTTTTAGGTTATGGGTGGGAAAGTCATGATTTAATTATATTTACCATTTTAGTCCATTATTACTTATTAAGGACTAAAAACTGTAATCAATTATTTCGTTATAGTAAATTATTGATCAAAATGGATTGATATCAACTACTTATTAATGGCGCTATACAAAAATCTGGATTAGGTTTGTTAGTATTAAAAAAAAAAAAAAGATTAGCAAGTTTAGTTAAAATCAGGATTTGTACGGAGTATTTATTTACACCTAACCCAATTTAGCATTAATCTTTGTTACACAATAATACAACACATACTTTCACTTTTTATTCCCTACTTATATGACACACTTTAATTCATTCCAAAAATATGAGTCACAATTTTTATCACTTTCTTATCTTCTCCTCCCATTAAATCAAGACACGTGGCAAGATTTTTTCTCTCGTCCATTTATCGGTCAAAGTATCTATAAAGTCAATGTACTATAGTGTTTTGTTCAATTTAGTCCTTGTACCTTTATTCTATTCTATTTAGTTCCTCTACTTTAAAAAAAAATGGTGAAACTAAGAACAATTGTCCAAATCTCATTAGGAACATGGTTGTAATTATTTATTTTGAACATATTAATTTAATATATTGGTGGTAAACATAATTAATTTTAAATATTTATAAAGTAATATATGAGTATGAATATAAATATCGTCACCGCCACGTAACCTAAATTAACGATAATATTAACACTATTAACCATTGTCCTCAATTACACAACTTTTAAAAATACAGAGACTAAATTAAACAAACTTAAGGTATAATGACTAAATTGAATAAAATGTTATAGTACAGAGACCTCTAACCTTCATTTATCACTTTCCTGGTTACATTCAAAATGGTTTTGTCATCTTTCAATTCCCTCATTGATAAATAAAATGTCTAATAAAACCTAGCAAATAAGTCGTTGTAGTATAGTGGTAAGTATTCCCGCCTGTCACGCGGGTGACCCGGGTTCGATCCCCGGCAACGGCGTACTTTTGTAGCTTTTCCACTACGTTTTCCTGAAAACTGAGGCGGCAGAATGATAAATGATGGGCATGGAGAAGATTGAAGAAGCCGGCAGCAAAAGGCGCAAAGGGATTCGAACCCGGCTCCTCAAGCATGTAATAGTTTGTAACAAAATTATAAATTAATAATTTGATTTATCATAAACATGATAAGATTACTCAGATGGTTCAAAAAAGAGTAAATACTTAAAATGGTCCCTCGATTATAGCTAAATTCACAAAATGGTCCTCAACTTTTAATTTCAACCAATTAAGTCCTTAACTTTGCAATTTTGACATGATTTGGTCCTCCATCTATTTGACCGTTTGTTAACCGTGATCGACGATCTCCAAAAGAACCTTTAGCTTTCGTCGGAGCACGTGGAGGCCTCCAGTATGATGTTGCACTGGTTCAGAAACACGCTGTCTTCTTCGCTTTGGTACGAACTCAACTACATTGAATCCAAATGGAGGATGAAGAAAGACGACCGGATTTGGTAGATTGCTTTCGACAGTGGATTCAAATGTAACAGTGCGGTCTGGAAATGCAACCGGAACCTTAAAAAATCAACGGTGGACCATGAAATTACATATATATCCTCAAAAATCACAGTCAACAAATGGTCAAATAGATGGAGGACCAAATCGTGTCAAAATTATAAAGTTAAGGACTTAATTGGTTGAAATTGAAAGTCGAGAACCAATTTGTGAATTTAGCTATAGTCGAGGGACCATTTTGGGTATTTATTCTTCAAAAAAAATAAGTAAATATGGCCGAGAACGAAGACCCTATGTCCCTATCTAGGACGAGAACATATATTTGTGATTTGTCCCTACCCGTTAGAGGTAATCATAAAGTATGTGAGTTTAGAATTAATTTTATATTTATTCCTAATATGAATTCAACCCTACATAATAATTCTATAATTGCTAGAACAAAACTCTTAATTAACTAGAACAAAACTCTTAAGTAGAATAAAAAGTAATTAAGGGGTGTTTAAAAAATGATTTATTAGCGAAGTACTTTGTGATCTGATGACATCATTGTTACTGTTTCAAACGAGGATGTTGACATTATCATGTTAAGAGGCAGGCTCCTCAGGTGCAGACGGGCCATTGGATAAGCTCAGATCAACAACTAAAACACAAATGAAAATGGGAAAAAAAACGGTGGCGTACACGAGAATGCTTGTCAATGCATTGGACTAAAAGCACCATCACGCATATCTAAATGTACCACCAATTATATCTAAATGTACAAACATATCATTGAAATTATCAATATGTTACCGCGTTTTCCCCTTTGAAAATCTGGGGAGGTTCCCGTACCAGAACCAGGTGTTAACCATTATGTTGAATTATTATAACCAATTTATATTTATTTGAATTTATCTTTTAATATTGAACTATTATAAACTACAGAGTATTTCTTTATAATAATAACAACAACAACAACAAAAACAACAACAACAACAACAACAACAACAACAACAACAACAACAATAATAATAATAATAATAATAATAATAATAATAATAATAATAATAATTAATAATAACACAAAAATAATACTCTCTCCATCTCATTTTATGTGTCTGATTTGGTTAAGGAGGCTTGACTGTAGTTATTTTTAATTCTATTTTTCATAATATTAAGTTTAGTATTAATATACAAAATTTATATATTTAGAAAATACACTAAAAGTACTATTAAACACACACAAAATAAATTTGAAAATAAAAAAATAATAATAAAGAAAATAAACAAAGAAGAAAGAATATGTTTGATCAATGAACATTAAGTATGACAGATAAAATGGTACTGAGGAAGTAATAAATTGTAAAAGTATTTTAAGAATTATGCAAATTGCACAATATACTTATGTCCTTATAAGTCATTTTATATATAAATAACTAATTTAGCAAATACATTTCTATAACTAGCTAGTTAATATTATCAACTAATACAATTAGGGTGTGTTTGTTTCGCACATGGGAATGTGAATCATATAATTGGTAATTGTAATGAGTTTTGGTGAAAGTATTTTGCATTTTTGGTAGTATGGTGGAATTGGAATGATTATCAATATTGCTGTTTGGTTATGTATGATCTTATAATGAGAATAAAGGTTTTAAAAATACAAGAAAAAAAAACATGACAATTGATTCTAATATAAAGACATTATATTCAAAGTACCGATATGAACAAAAAAATAAAAACAAAAATCTAAGAGTATTAATTCAAACTTAAAAATCAAATTACCAATTAGGAGATGGAATAATGGAACGAAACTCTTATTTTATTAGGGAATGGATTTTCTAATTAAGGGGTAACCAAATCTCATAATAGTGCTGGTAGGGAATATCCCGACCGACATATTTTACCCTGATCCGTGTGCCTTCGTCCTTGTCTTCTTGTTTTTGCAGGTAGCAGGTCGGGTTTCTAGTGAAGGACCCGGTCGGAACACGACCGGGA